GATCAATAAATTGTGGTATATGTACACCAGGGAATACTATGCAGCCATTAAGAAAGATGGAGACTTTGTCTCCTTCATGTTTACATGGATGGAGCCGGAAAATATTCTTCTTAGCAAAGTATCTCAAGAATGGAAGAAAAAGTATCCAATGTACTCAGCCCTACTATGAAAGGAATATGGGGAGAGGGGAGAGGGAGGGGAGGAGAGGGAGGAGGGTGGGTGGAAGGAAAGTGATTGGTGGGATCACACCTATGGTTCATCCTATAAGGGTACATGTGAATCTCTCTAAATGTAAAATATAAATGTTTTAACACAATAACTAAGAAAAAGACATGAAGGCTATGTTAACCAGTTGGATGAAAGTATTTCAAATTGTGTACAGAAACAGTATACTGTACCACACAATATGATTTAATAAAAAAATTTTCACATTAAGAAAAAATCTCTTATGACTAATGAAACCAAACTTTTAAATAAAATATCTATATCTAGGCTTCCCCACACATTAGGAGAATAATACATGTTAAGTTTTATATCAGAAATGGTTTATATCAGAAATGTAAGGATGCATTTCAGTATTTGGGAATTTATTAATATAATTTACCATATTAATAGGCCCAGTCAGAAAATGTAGGCTTATCTGCATAGATTCTGAAAATCCTTTTGATAACAGAAAATGCCAGTTATTAGTAAAAAAAAAAACTCTTGAGAAAATATATGAATGATTGACTATATAAACAACATAATCAAATATATACCTGAATATTAAAGTGAACATCTTACTTAATCTGAAAACATTAGGATCATTCCCACTACGTCTGCTATTACATAAAATTGTTTTGGAGATCTCACCCAAAGCAGTTACAAAAGAGGAAACAATTAGAAGGATAAGAATAGGAAGAGAAAAATAATAAAACTAATTTTTCTTAGCAAATGACATGATAGACTTTAAGATATGAATTATTTCCAGATCAAAAGATCTATTGTACACCATAATTGCTATAGATAATAACAATGCACAATCATTCATCACTTAATGACAGGGATTCATTCCAAGAAATGCATCGTTAGGCAATTTTATCATTGTGCAAACATCATAAACATCAAGATGATATAAAACATCATAAAGTGTACTTACGCACACCTAGATGGTGCAGCTGACCTCCTACACTCTAGACTGTGTCTTGTGGTCTATTGCTCCCCGACTACAAACCTATACACAAGTTACTAACTGAATGCTGTAGGCAATTGTAACACAGGGGTAAGTATTTTTGCTAGATGTAGCTAAACACTGAAATAGTACCATAAAAATATGGTAAAGGATTTAAACATGGTAGAGCTCGATGCTTGTAGGACTGGAAGCTCTCTGGTCAGTGAGACAGTGGTGAGTGAGTGTGAAGGCCTAGCACGTTACTGTACACTTTGGCTGTACTACATTTACAAAAAATACTTTCTTTCTTCATTAAAAAATTAACCTTGGCTTACTAGAACTATTCTACCCTATAAACTTTTGAGTGTTTTATACTTTTGACCCTTCGTCCTAGCGGTTAAAACAAACACATTATAGCACTGTACAAAAAATATTTTCTTCATATCCTTATAGGTAAGTTTTTTTTTTCTATTAAGTTTTTGGGTTTTATTACTTTTTAAAGATTTTTGTTATTAATTAAGACCCAGACTCACTCTTTAGGCCTACATGGGGTCAGCACCATCAGTATCACTGTCTCCCTACACATCTTGTCCCACTGAAAGGTCTTCAGGAACAATAACAGGCCTGGAACTGACAGCTCTATGAAGACAATTCCTTCTTATGGATATCGCCTGAAGGACCTGCTTGAGGCTGTTTTATCATTAATTTTTTTGTTTTTAGTAGAAGGTTAAAACAACGTTAGAAGTATGGTACGCATGTATAGCCATGTATAGTAAATAAATAAACCAGTAGCATACTCGTTTATTATCATTATCAAGTATTTTGTACTATACTGAACTGTACGTGCCAGACTTTTATACAACATGGCAGTGCCTAGGTTTGTTTAGACATACCACAAACACAAGACCAACGCCTTGTGCTACACTGTTATGATGGCGACAAGGCCATTAGGTGATAGAAATGTTTCAGCTTCATTATAATATTATGAGACTCCCCTGGTATATGTAGCTCATTTTTAACTGAAACACCTTCATGCCCTACATGACTCTATTGTAGTCTTGAAAGTTGACAAAAGAGATTTTAAGTGTTCTCACCACACACAAAGGTGAGGGTGCGGGGTAATGTATATACTAATTAATTCAACGTAGCCATTTAACAATGTACTTCCAATAGCATATACTACACAATAAATACATATAAGTTTTGTTTGTCAACTTAAAGAAGTGTTTAAAAAATAGAATACGAGAGATAAAGAGGAATGTTTCCTGGTTCAGTGCCTGTGGCTCAAGTGGCTAAGGCACCAGCCACATACACCTAAGGTGGCGGGTTCGAATCCAGCCCCGGCCCGCCAAACAATGACAGCTGCAACCAAAAAATAGCCAGGCATTGTCATGGGTGCCTATGGTCCCAGCTACTTGGGAGGCAGAGGCAGGAGACTCGCTTGAGCTCAGGAGTTAGAGGTTGCTGTGAGCTATGATGCTATTGCACTCTAACCAGGGTGACAGCTTCAGGCTCTGTCTCAAAAAAAAAGAGGAATGTTTCCTAATGGCAAAACAGCCCATGTAAGAGGTATATAATATGATCTTAAATTGTATGGACTCAGTAATTAATTTGAAGCATTTGCACATTTCAATGATTTGTCAATAGATATTTGTTAGAGGAAATTAAAATATATGGTGTGGCACCTGTGTCTCAGTGAGTAGGGCGCTGGCCCCATATACCAAGAGTGGCAGGTTCAAACCCTGCCCCAGCCAAACTGCAAGAAAAACATGGCCAGGCATTGTGGGGGCTGCCTGTAGTCCCAGCTACTTGGGAGGCTGAGGCAAGAGAACCGCCTAAGCTCAGGAGTTGGAAGTTGCTTTGAGCTGTGATGCCATGGCACTCTACAAAGGGTGGTAAAGTGAGACTCTGTGTCTACAAAAAGAAAAGAAGAAGTTAAAATTATATGAAGCATAAATGTAAAAAAAAACAGCAGAAAAGAGAGAAAAATTCACAATCCTATTGGGTAGTTTTAAATCTCCTATTTAAACAGCTATTATAACAAGTAGAGGGAAAAAATCTGTAAGGATACACTAGGTAGAACTTGAAAAATGTGATTAACCAAACTGACCAATAATTCAGCTAGCAACTATTTTTGAGACAGAGTCTTACTTTGTTCTTGGACTCAGGTGATCTTCTTGCTTCAGCCTCCCAAGTAGCTGGGATTACAGGTACCCGCCACAATGGCCAGCTGGACTTAGAGGTGAGGTCTTCCTCCTGCTCAGGCTAATTTTGAACTCCTGAGCTAAGGCAATCCAACTGCCTTGCATACATGTCATTTTCAAGAGCACATAGGTAATTTGGTCAAATAGACTATGTTCTTTGGAGTAGGGCAAGTCTCAAGAACTTTCGTAAGACTGAAATCATACTGTGTATGTTCTCTAAGTAATTTGCCATGATGTCAGTTAACTGAATGACATAGGAAAATTCTCAAATGTTGGAAAATTAAGCAGCACACTTCTAAATAACCTGAAATTCATGAAAGAAATTGCAATGGACATTTGAAAATATTGGCAATGAAAATATGATTTATAAAACTATCTGGAATGTATATAAAGCAATGCATAGATGGGAAACTGATAGCTTAGACACAAACAGTGCTCCTCAATTTACAATGGGGTCCCATCCTGCTTAAAACCATTGTAAGCTGAAAATAATTATAAGTTGGAAATGCATTCAGGACGCTAAGCTACTAAACGTCACAGCTTAGCCTAGCCTACCTTAAACATGCTCAGAACGCTTAACACTGTGTACAGCTGATGACACAGAACACTGTGAAGTTTGGGTTTTTACCCTCACGATCCAAGGGCTGACAAAGACCAGGTGCTCACTGTTGTGGATGAGCACCCTACCACATAGCATTAGTCTAGGAAAAGACTGACAGTCAGTATTCAAAGTACAGTTCCCCCAAATGCAGATCAGGTTCACATCACTCCAAAACTGAGGAATCCTAAATCAAACCATTGTAAGCTGGGGACCATCTGCATTCAAAATGAAGACGGGGTGCTCATTTCTGCAGCACATATACTAAAATTGGAATGTTACAAAGAAGATTAGCGTGGCCGCTGCACAAGGATGACACAAAGATTCCTGAAGCGTTCCCTATGTTTTAATTCAAGTTGGAGGGAAGAGGGAGGGAGGACGGGGGGGGGGCGGGGGACGATGGGTGGCACACCTCCTGGGTGCGGAACACAACTACAACAGGGAGCCTACCTAACAAACACAAACATTGTAACCTAATTAGAACTTCACATTCACTTGAAAATACATTAATAGATGATAATTTTTAAGAAATGAAGAAGGGTTGGCTCAGCGCCTATAGCTCAACCGGCTAAGGCGCCAGCCATGAACACCGCACTAAGGTGGCGGGTTCAAATCCCCAGCCCGGACCGCCAAACAACAATGACGGCTGCAACCAAAAAATAGCCGGGCGTTGTGGTGGGCGCCTGTGGTCCTAGCTACTTGGGAGGCTGAGGCAGGAGACTCGCTTGAGCCCAGGAGTTGGAGGTTGCTGTGAGCTGTAATGCCACGGCACTCTGCCCAGGGGGACAGCTTGAGGCTCTGTCTCAAAAAAAAAAAAAAAAGAAATGAAGAAGGGTTAAATTGAGGAACCTTAGATTCTCATTCATATTGCTGGGAAAGAGTAGGAAATTAAGAACTGGAATGAGGGAAAATAACACACATTTAAGAGCACAAATCCATGAAATGGAAAAATGCATGTATATCTTTTGAAAAAAGTTAAGAAAGCCAAAAATTCGTTCCTTGAAAATATTATAAACTGCCACTCCGCAAGTAGGAAGGATGAGAGAGCGAACACAAATTACACAGATTTGCAGTGAAAAAGAAGCATCACATCACTTCCTATGCATCTTACTTGACTTCAAAAAGAATAAGAGCATACTTGAAATTGCTGAGGAAGTTGCATAGAGAAATATTCCGGGGTAATTGTCATTGTTAATATCTTGATCTAGATGGGAGACACAAGTGTAAACATCCATAAAAATGCATCAAGTCTTAGAATTCAGGCTTATACACTTTACTAGATGGAAATTAGACCTCAGTTATTTTATTTCCTTATACCACAATTATTGTTGCTGAGTCATGGTGACCTTTTGGGAAACCTGTTGTGTCTCTTACTGGCTTCTTGGTGTTGCAGACACATCTGCCTTAACGATCTGCACTCTGATGCTCTGCTCCTCATGATTTAATGAACAACTTTCTATCACCTGTACCTGCATTCACCCCCAAGCCTGTATTACCTTGAGTAGTCCTTTCTAGCTTGGCTGGTGATAATAATCCTTAAGGGTATTATATATTAAATATATAGATCACTTCTGGCAATTCATACTCAGTGGGTTTCAGTTGCAACCAGTAATCTTTCTCTCTCTTTTTTTTCCTATGAAAAATTCCAGTGATTCTTATCTTCAACCAATTTTGGAAGCAGCACCCTGGGTGGTATGATTAATTACTGGTATGATTAATTACCATCTCCTGACTTGTCCCACTTCTTTACCTCCCTTTCTGACTAGGTCTAGCAGGCATCCTACTTATTTTCAAGACTGAAAGTTTGAAAAGAGGTCAGAGAAAACATTCAAGATAATGTCAGAGACATTAAAAGTTAATGTAAAATAGGTTTATTGAGGAACTTGTGTGGTTTTTCACCTTGAAAGCAATTAAGAGTCCTGTTAGGAAGAAGTGGAAGTCTTTGAGAATTTGAGTGTTTAGAAAGAACACTGATACACACCCACTTTTTTGGTTCAGTATATTATCAAGCACTTTGTGCATGCAGTTTTCTCTGGTTTCAAGATCACAACACTACAGCATTCTGCCCACATGAATGTAGTGGTGTTACTGATTAGCACGGGGTCTGGGAATACTATGACGATGTTCTCAAGAACCTCAAGAGTATCTGGGTTTTTTATCTCTCCATTTTCAAGTAGAAATGAAAAGTGGGCAAATGGGAAAACATGGGTAAAAAGGAACAATATTGATATTATTTGGTTAGGGACATGCATTATTTGTCCATCTCACATTTATTTTAGCACATTCTATGCACAAAGCACTAGGTAAGGCTATAGTTCAACAGCGGTAAATAAGAAAACATAGTCCTTTTCTTACTACAATCTCTACTAGAATTTATAGTTTAGTAGAGATTTTTCTTAAATTTATAAATTTTTAATATAAGTATGATAAGTTCTACTAAGAAGAATTTTAAGATACAGTGATGAGATGTTTAAAGGAGAGAAGTGACCTAATTTGGGAGTCACTTAGAGTTCTCCATGGAAGGCCACGTATTTTACCTCTGATTTATCCTCCCCCACAAATAGGGGAGTAGATTATATTTTTTTCACAAAAGAAAAAAATTTTTTTAAAAAAACAGATGTTTTCAGTGACATATTGTGATTTGATTTTCTCAGGGACATGCCAGTTAATATATAAGGACAACCACCAAAGTCAAAATACGTTAAGTGTCCCTGTGATTCTGCCCCCATTGTTAGCAAAACCAACTCTCCCTTCTGTTTCTAAACAAGCACCCAGCTGCAATCAGCTTCTTTGCAAATAGACAATAGAAATAGACATGAAAACTTTAAAAAGAGAGAATGAGTATATCCACGTGGGCGTAGTGTGATTTTTTTTTTCCTTTTTATTGGCTCTGTTCAAAATACGTGACTCTAGAGAACATCAGAAACAGCATAGTTGATCAGACGGCACTATTTCTGTTTCTACATGAACCCAAGGAGATAAGCTACATCTTTTTATATTTCCAACTAAACGCAGTGCTTCTCTAAAAAATATATGGCTATAAGTAATACCCAGAAAAAAATAAAAGCTTGTTAGTATTTTCTCATGGGCAATGGTGGCTGGTTTCATTTCTTCAAGCTGTTCTGGAGTAGGGCATACATCACACCCAAGATGTCTGTGCTAAGACTGGCCAGAATCTGATTTTTTAGCTACCTCTTCCATCAGAAAAACCTATATCCAAACGCAATTCTCTTGGGGTAAGAAGACGTGTGTGTCTTTTTTACTGAATTTAAAGACAGAACACTAGCATGACTCAGAATGCGGGTGTAGGCCTGGAAGCTTGTGATAGTTTTCATGACAGGGCAAAGTTCAAACTTACACAGCACTACTAACTATCAAAGGCAGAGGAAGGTTCCTGAAAACTCCTCTCATGTCCTCTAAGGGAACCAAGTGCCCCCAGGTGCATACATCTCCAGGCTGTTACGTTCATGCATTCGTGCTAGTAAATTTATATATTTACCAAGTGAAGAGTGCTGCCCTTACTCCCTGTGCTGTGCTGGGAAAAGTGAACACAACCGAAAATAAAACAAACGCAAGTCCCCGCCATGTTAAAACTTACATCTGGTCAAAGATGGAAAGTAATATAGTAAACAAAGAAATACATATATGGTGAGAATGTGGCTGCATGTTATAGGGAAACAGGCAATTTGGTGATAGAGGTCATTGGTGTGGAATGGGGGGAGTGGGAGTGGTCTCATAGAGAGGAAGATTAGGTAAGGTCTCTCACAGATCACGATATCAGAGCCAGCCATGTGAATACCAAAGGTCAACCATTTGTTGATACCGTGAGACGGGAAAGAGTTCTTTGGGTTTGGGGTTAGAGTGCAGGTGGTAGAGGAAGGGCAAATATAAAGTCAAGTGGCAAAGTGACTGGGAGCAGGTCATTGGATCAGCGGTTCTCAACCTGTGGGTGGCGACCCTCAAGAACTGTACTAAAGGGCCACAGCATTAGTGAGAACCACTGATTTGGTGCCCTTGATTTTATACAATGTCCTAGAAATAAACTACAGTTGACTCCTGACCAACATGACTTTGAACCTCTTGAGTGCACTTGTACATGGATTTTCTTCTGCCCCTACCACCCCAGAGACAGCAAGACCAGCCCCTCCTCCTGTCCCTCCTCAGCCTACTCACATGAGGATGATGAGGAGGAAGACCTTCATGACAATTCACTTCCACTTAACAAGCAGTAAATATATTTTCTCTTTCTAATGATTTTCCTTTTTTCCCCATTATTTCAGATTAATATGAGGGTACATGCCATTAGGTTTCATAGTCTGCATTTGAAAGGCTCAAGTCCAAGGTTCAGCTGTGTCCTTCACCCAGAAAGTATACTGTGCATTGTACCCACTGGGTGAGAACTTACTGAACCCTTTCCCCCCATACGTACACTTGAATTTAATTGAGTTTTTGTCTCCTGTGAGACAGTAGTTGTTAATCTACTAGTTTCAATTTCGTACTGAGTACATGTGTTGGGTTTTTTTCCATTCTTGTGATCATTCACTTAGGACAATGGTTCTCAACCTTCCTAATGCTGCGACACTTTAACATCGTTCTTCATGTTGTGGTGACCTCCACCCATAAAATTATTTTCATTGCTACTTCCTAACTGTAATTTTTGCTACTGTAATAAATCATAATGCAAATATCTGATATTAGGCAACCCCTGTGAAAGGGTCATTTGACCCCCAAAGGGGTCATGACCCATAGGTTAAGAACCACTGACTTAGGAGGATGTCCTCCAACTCTGTCTGGGCTATTATAAAAGATGCAAACTCCATCTTTTTTTGTGCTGAACAGCATTCCATGCTATACATATATCGCAGTTTATTAATTCATTCATGTATTGAAAGAGTTGTTTCCACATCTTTATTATTGTGAATCGAGCTGCTATAGACGTTCCAATGCAAATATCCTGCTGTAAAATATCTTTTTTTCTTTGGAGTAGTTATCTAGGAATGGGATTGTGGGATCAAATGGTAAGTCTACTTTTAGTACTTTGAGGAATCTTCATACTTCTTTCCATAGAGGTTATACTAGTTTGCAGTCCCCAGCAACCGCACATGAGTGTTCTCTTTTCTCTGCACCCACGCCAGCACCTGCTGCTTTGGGACCTTATGATGTGGGCCATTCTCACTGGAGTTAGGTGATACTGTAAAGAGGCTTTGATTTTCATTTCTCTGACAATTAGAGATGATGAGCATTTTTTTCATGTTTTTGTTGGCCATTATTCTGTCCTTGTGAGCAAAGTTTCTGTTCCTATCTCTTGCCTACTTTTTAATGGGGTCGTTTGTTCTTTTCTTGTTGA